AAAACAAAACAACAACAAACCTCCAGCACGAGCTAAGGGACACGGGCACTTTGTGAAATACATAAACAAATTATTTTTAATCAACCACTTGCTGGCGGGTACTTATAAAAATGCAGTGCACACGTACGGGCGTTTTTCAAGATTTTCAGTTTTCAGAATTCTTCACAAATTCATCATTTCATTTAATGGACGTTTCAACATACAGGAAGGATTCTTTGGGAACTACTCTAACAGACAGGCGGCCTTCATTGACGCCCGAATTTTTCAGCCAGGCCGGCAGCCTTGTAAAAAGATCCCAGATTGTGCGGTGTTATGTGAGATTCTTTTGCTCCCAAAACCGGAACAGTGCGATGCTGACCTGTTTTCAATAGAGGTCAGATTTGCGTGCAGCGGTGCTGTGTGGCTCATCGCTGTGGCGGTGGAGCGCTTTTGTCCCCAGTGCTAATCCGCTCGCTCTAAATGCCCCAAACTGTGGTAAACTATTTCAAAACAAGGCTGGATTATCTCCACTATTGAGAGTAAAAAATGTCGGTAATTTCCAGCTGCCTGGTCTTTTGTGCCGAGCACGGTCTTTTGTTGCAAGGCCCAGTTCTTTTGTCCCGGTTTCGAGCTCCCCGGCTCCCTTCCTCGAAAACGGGTCACTCGGCAGGAAGTGGTTTAAGTGCATTGGGTGGGAGAGCTGGAATGTTTGGCTCCAAAAGGTAAAGCCGATTTGAATTTATCATATGAAGACGGAAATCGTTCTCTCTTTTACACGACAGTGAAACATTCGTTATTTGATACAAACTTTTTTCTTTTGACCGTGCATTGGGACGTTTTATATTAGCTGCACATTTATCAGAGCAGTATATTTTTGATCGACAACGCGCTAAATAGAAGATATGGATTTATTCAAGCATTTTGCAACATAATGCAGGTAGTTGTAACTGAACCTGGTTATGAAGTCTGCGTCGTCAGATTCCAAGAAGGTCAGCAGGTTTGCTTCACCTACTGAGACGGACTGGACACTCTTGAACTGACCAAGGACCTCGACAGGATCTCTGCTACTCTCCAATGTTACCTTAGTTGCACCTGGTATCATTAATGCAAAATGTGAATGTACATCAAGTTAATTGAGCTCAGCGATGAAGTTTTTCAACAATGGAATGTGAATGTCATGTAACAACAAATTGGAAATCCCACTCAGCGTTGTTTTTAACAAATAAATCATGGATGTGATAATTGTTTCTTTGCCAGTTTGTCTTCCTGGACTCAAACCAAGGGTGTAGGTTTGAGTCTAGAAATGGTAAAATGACATCAAAATCAGAAAATTGCTTGCAGTAGTCCTATATACATTACTTACGCCGCCCGAAGATGAAAACATGCCACAAGTAGTGCATACATGGTGCAGACGGCAAAATCTGCATTTTGGGGTATAAGCCTCTGGCTAGACCAAGACAGTGCGCAGTTTTCTTGGCAACGGAGGGTCCTTCGGTCAGAATTGAACTCTGCTAGTTCACGAACGACTTTGTGAATGCATGCGTTACGGTCGCATATCAACAAATTGAACACTCTCAACCATAGAGTGCCTCTTTTCAACTGATGTGGGTTGCTCCTGCTCGAGGCGGGTAAATTAATACAATGGCACTGCGTAACCAACCTCACCACCGAAAAAGGATCTACGCCTTTGATCACTGACTCCGATTGGGTGATAACGACTGAACTGACACTGTATGAAAAGAACATGGTCGCTGGGTGCTTTGAATGGAAAGAATGAAACCACTTCAAAGGAGATATTTCATCTTGGAAGATGCACCAAGGTATCGCCCCAAATACATTTTATGTTTGACGCACCTTTATCGATAACGGTAGGTTCCAGGTTTGTCCAATCTTCACTCGTGATGAGATCTTCCAGGTAACATACCAGCTGTGTGTCATTCAACATTTCCGCCTGGCATGACGTCACGAAAATTAAGACCGCTAGGATCATCCTGTTAAAATAACGAATAACTGCAGCTGCACAAGGTACCCTCGAACTTTCACAGACAGTTAAAATTTCTTGAGTGTCATGACGAATTGACAGCTAACGTATTATACCATGATTTGGGCAGATTATAATTTCAAAAATCTTTTCGTCAAACTGGTTTACACAGAGACTTTAACTCTTCGTTGATATCACACCAAGTAACTCTCGCAAATGTGCCTGATATTTGATCTTAAACCATTAGATCCACGTGTACACAATTAGATGCCTGGGAGTGCAAGGACGGTAAATCAAAATGAGTTGCAGAAAAATGGAACGAGCCCAATACGCCCTCTTGACATCGACCAGTGGATCTGGATAAGCTGTGGAGTGTAGCTCAGACAGAGCCGCGTGAATGGGCAAAACCTTTTGTGGAAGGGCCACCCAGGGTGAATACGTTTTTAACGGGAAACCGAAAATAAATTATTTTCTTATCATTTTTAACATTTTGAAGAAGGCAGGGGGTAGACATCCATCAAAGGAAATGTTCTTCCTACACCACTGCTCATAGATAACATAAAACTGGATAGGAGGATGACCCTGCGAAATCTTTTTGTAAATGGTAATTACTTTGATGGCTACTTAATTTCCGGAACCTTTTGCTTGACTTACCTATTTGCATGCATGGCAGCCAAGAGTTCTTCAGTCGAGATAATTTGTCCAAGTAAAACTCCAAGCTATATACTACATGGACGGCTTCAAGACGAACTTATTTGTCACCGCGTTCTGCACTCGAAGCACAGGGAAAAATGATTACATAGTGAGGTGATTCCATATTGGAGGGGTGGTCGATTGTTATCCATAACAACATTTTCTACGGGAACATAATTATCGGCCTCAACAGGGTGTTTGCTTCACAAAACAAACAAAAATTGCTCTTTACATCATAAACGAAGAAAGAATTACTCTTTGCTCCATTTCTAAAATATTTTTAAAAAGAGTGAACCCCTCTGTATTTTTGATAGGAATCTAGCAACAGATTATACGAAGTGCCGTCACACACCTTACGGCTAACCATATGCTGTGGTACGGGTAAAATATATCAAGAGGGTAGATGCGGCATGCGACCCTCATTCAAGAACTCTCAACGATCCTTCTGTATGGAAGGAACTAGCAGCAATGAATCAATTCTGCTTGAGTGTGCGATATTCATTTTTTTTTATGGAGAGCCCTGATTATGAAGGACAAATTATGAATTTTACTGGAGCTAATCGTGAGAATAATTTCATGAGGCGACAGACGGGATGTTCCCTTCCGCGAGGTAAAGCTAACCGGGATGCAATAGTTAATACGTCACCGAATGAAATAATGAAATTATTCTTTCCATTGCACGAATTTGAAACATTCATTATTATTTAATGAATCATAATTCCAGAATAAGTCCATATCTATAAGTCGCAGTTTTCCTTTCCCAGACAGGAATGGAACAGCTACACGAAGTTGTCATGTTCTGAATCAGTTCATGCTTCACTAGATGTTCCTTGGTGCCTTGCTAAGTTCTCTCAAGAGAATTCATTATTTTAAGAATGAACCACACTTACAGTTCAACATTTTTTCATTGGTAAAAAGAAGAAGCGGAAGTTAGCCTTTACGTTAGCCACCTACCATTTGGTGTTCAGTTTTAGTATGAAATGTTTCTCGGCAACGAATGCTGATTACAGTAGTTACAATGGTTGAGGGTAATTACAGTGTGCGTTTTTATGAATGGCGGGCACTAATGTTTAGCCACGGCTTCATGACCACGCCTGTTATTACGATCCGAAAAAACTCCAAACTATTTAAGAATAGTATTTATTCCAAAGCTTGAATTCTCTCCAATGCAACAAAAAAGAAAAACAAACAAACAAAACAAATCAAGGAAGATCACACTGATACAAGGAACAAATAAACAGTTATTATTTAATAAGAATATAACACTTAGCAAGTAAAAAACAAGGATAACAAAGAAGACGCGGATTGGAACGGGTTCACAACGATAAAAAACATATCTTGTATAACAAAAAAGATATTCTTACGGACGAGAGCTTGACAGGCCCTACAGTGTGAACACTGGACTCCACCTGTCCACAGATAGCGAAATAGTTCAGTCCTTGACGGTGCAAAATTACCTGCGACGGTACAACGACCACGTCGAATATAAAAAATGACATGGCTCGAGACGAAACGGCGAGGGCGTGATGACCGTCGCAAATACGGGAACTTGATGATCCCACAAACTGGAACTGGATTCAGTTCACTGTCTCTTCCAAACAAGATTCAGCTCTGCACTTCACTTAGTCTGGATGAACTTTTCTTAGAAGTGTCGCTCGCTCCACAGACGACTCGACCTCCACCACGGGTTGAAAATGGTGCAGAGGTCAAGTTAAATACTTCTCACAGCCCGTGTTCAGAATTGCTTTCCAAAATCTCTCTTGAGATGTGTGTCTCTCTCTGTCTCTCCTATCCTTCTTTGCCAGAGCCTGTATTTCATAGTCTGCAATTCTTCAAGAAATTTCTTCTCGTTACGTAAGTTTCTTAAAAAAGACTTTTTAGCATTACTTAATCTTTCAAGAAACATCTGGACTATACACCATGATAACTCGAAATATCGCGAGCTTACAGGAAATTTCCCGGACGCATAACGAGAGTACTCACGATCTGTAGCGACCGCGGATGGACAGCAAATTGCAAGTCAACAATAAGGGTGCACCACTACAAATAAATTCCCATAGACAGCCGTGATAAATCTCCACACTACAAAAATATTTTAAAAATACAACTCTCACAGGTGTTCAGACTGCACAGAAAAATGATGTTCCACATGTCCTCTTTCATTTTCCTTTCAATTTTTAGTGGGTTGACAAATGACTTTATGAGAAATTCTCACCCAAAGGAGACCACCCCTTAAACGAAGGAAATTTCACTGCCCGGAAAAGTAGCCATTTTGAAAATGCATCCCTCTGCAAAATGTCTCAAATAGTGTCACCTTTGGACCCGATTGGATCCAAATTGCTCAGAATTGGAAGCCCTGAGTCAGGCCAAGAGGTTCAGTGCCACATTTCTTAAATTACCCAGATCCATGGCTCTAGGACCCTCTAATATAGAATATTTTGAGTATATAACTTTTATTTATGAGCTCGGCAGACACATTTCTAGCCTTTTTGCATGGGTGTACCCATAACAACGTTTATTGCAATATGGCGGAGACTTAACCACCCAAGCCCTAGGAGGGCGCTATAACTACACAACATCTCCCCCTTCTTAGCTGGATCCATACAACTGTTTTCAAGTGTGAGTCAAATGAGTAAAATGGCACAAAAGTAAAATCTTTGTTCTTGATTGGCAATTCTGTAATGGAAGTGTGCATGCATTGTGATTGTCAATGTAACAATTTTAGAAGGTAATGGGGACCATAAACTTATACAATTTGAAGTCAAAACTTGCTGCCTGCATTGAAATTGAGCAGATTAAAAGAGTTCTTTGAGTCCATGAAAATTTCCAGATTTCCAAATAAAATATGCTGTAGAAATATCTAAATTTTGGACTGTGTTCCAAGAAATGATTAGAAAATTAAGTCAAAGCTAAGTGTTCAAGAATTCAATGACCTCACATATGATAGTCCCTAGTCCAGACTGGCGGGGGTGCGTGTTCTGGTTGAATGTTGCGTAGGAACAGGCTGGTTCGCAACAGACTGCAAGTTGGCATGCTGGCTGTGATTGTCCAGTAGGTGTCATGAGGGTGGCTAGACATGCACTCAACTTGGATGCGTTCCAAACATGACCGTCTTCCAGCATGTATGTGAATGGTCCCTTGGATTTCACAATGTTCTGAGGATCAGAAAATTTCCGTGCGCTCTTTGACTGAAGATCAATAGGTGTTTTTACGCGAACATAATCACCCACACGAAGTTTCGGCAACTTTGCATCACGGTTGCGATTAGTCGTCTTACACGATCGTTCCTGTTTATGCGCGACCCGTTTGCGAACCAAAGAATCATCGGCGCGTTAAGGGGTATCACCGCGAATGTTCCTCTATGTGACCATTTTGCGACCATGCAACAATTCAGACGGGGATCTCCCTGTAGTCTGGTGAGGTTTGGCATAGTTTTTTCTCTGATCAAGGCGCCCGTGGCGAGATGGATAGTCGCTCAAGAGCGAGGCCTAGGAGCTGGAGGAGACTAGTCTTAACACGAAACCAACGCACAACGAAAGACTACATGACGACCCGCACGCCCGCGCACAGTCCACGACACACACAGCACGGCTACTGCATGCGCGTGCATGGTTAATGTCGGGGGCTTGCATGCGGTTCGTCGTGTGATCTTGACTATCCATTTCGCCGCGGGCGCCTTGATCAAAGGCTATGTATAGCAATAAGTCGATGGTGGCATGTTTCTATAAGGTGTGTTATAGCGTCGCAAATTGCAGCGTTTGTTTGAGGACTCTGTTCCAACGATCTACCTCACCACTCACTCTTGGGAAGTAGAGTGAGGATTTCCTGTATTTTATTCTGAAATTCTGAGTGTTGTTTTCCAAATCAGCAGACACAAACTGAGTTCCCTTGTCGGTAACAAGTTCATGAGGCAAACCTTCACGAGCAAAGACTGACGAGAGCATGTTGATGACTGTGGTAACTTGTTAAGCGAACGGGACCTCGAGGCCACAGGCCATTTACTGTAGTGTAGCGGTCCAGTCCTTCTGCAGTTGTCAGGAGGGTGGAGATCCGTCCGCCAATTAAGGGGGGTAGAAGGCGCAAAGCCAGGCAAAAAAATGGACTCAAGGCGACTGTGGCTTGATTCCCTTCGATTTATTCCCAGGTGTCAATAAGCAATGAAATTGTAACCAAAAAGAAGCCAAGAAAAAAGCCCTAAAGAAAGACAGAGGACGTACTGTTACTGAGTGGTGGCTTACATGTACGTAGTAGTAAACGTTACATTCGCTATGTCCATTACAAATTCACACTACGAAATGTCTCTGTACAATCATGAATTCTCTCACCATGACGTCTAAAAGATTGCCTAAATTGGTATGAACTCTAAAGCCAACGGAAATTTAGGGCTTAGGTTATCCGACAAGGAGCCATGATGCTGTGAATGCCAGCTCACCAAGGTGCAGGTCTCAAGCGTGGGACTGTCACTGAGAAAAGCCCAGAAACTTCTCAGGTCCCGCCAAAATGTAATACAATGTAAGCAACTTCCAGCCGAAGGGCGTGGCTTAGAGATAATTTAGTCTGCACGCGCAAGGGACGCTCATACTCACGCATTGATCTCGTGCCAGAGACCGGCAGGTCAGAGTTCATATTCGCATCAAAAGTAATTATCTCACCGGGGAAACCCCCAGATCCCTACAGTAGCAGTCAATCAAACGCTAACGTAGCGACACTCGTGGGGTGCATTAGCAAAAGGCCCAGTTATGTCAAGTGCAGTTTTCTGCCATGGACCCTCCAGTAATGGAAGTAGCTGGAGAGGGGTGTTCCTAGAGCCAGCTGTCTTGTCACTGGTTTGGCACGGCAAACAACTGCTGATTGTCTCTTCGACCATGCAATCCGTCGTTGGCCACCAGTAACAATCACGTTATTGCTCTTTACACCGAACAGTCCTTGGTGTGTCTTCATGCGGGTCTCTTTCTGCAAGTCATGTTTACTAGTGGTGCTGTTTACCAACAGAACATTCAAGGACTGAATGATTATGTCATCGTCATTATCCTGAAATGAGTCTGTTGCAGCGATGGGAAGTCGTGACATGGCGTCCGTAGCAGCATTACGGACACCTGCACAGTATTCAACAGTGCAGTTGAAGCGCATGAGACGTGCAGCTCATTGAGCGTGAAATGCGTACTGACTGGTGTCTGGAGCCACGAGAGGACAGCATTGAAGTGAGGGGCTGGTGATCTGTCCTTAGGATGAAATGGCGCCCCCCAAGTACTGAAACTCGCATGCCCACACACACACGAGAGAGCTTCCTCCTCACCTACGGAATAGTTGTATTCTGCAGATAACAACATGCGAGATGCGAATGCAACAGGATATTCGCGACCTTCTCTACCTGAATGAGGACAGCACCAAGTTTGTAGGATGATGCATCAGTAGACACAGTCACAGGCAGTGCAGCGACCGATCAGTTCCTTATTTGTTTCAAAACTTTGCAGTGCAGCAGAAGACCACTCGAACTCGATCAGCTCCTTTGCGAATGATCATGACACGTAGAAGTTCAACTACTGTAGAGAAGGTCGGGCACAAAGCGGGCGTAATACGAAGCGAGTATAGGGAAAGATCGCAGTCGTGGATGCGTCAGTAGGATGGGTCACGTGCTTTGTTGCATCAACATGGGCCCTTGTGACGATGCAGTATGTCCGAGAAGCGAAGGGACGACAGATTGAACTGACACCTGGCCGCATTACGACTCATTCCCACATCCCGTGAATGCGCTTCAGGACGTTTGTCATGTTCAGCATGGTTTCGGCTACACAACAATGTCATCTTTAAGTAGGCCTGCACATCTGGTAGCCCACTAAGTACAGATGACGTCAGTTTCTGGAATGCTGCTGGTGCTGAAGCAAGACCGAAGCAAACCCGTCGGAAGAGAAGCGGTCCTTCGTGGGTAATGAAGGCAGTGTAGTCGCGAGATTGTTTTGAAAGCTCAATTTGATGATAAGCTAAATTGAGATCAAGTGTTCTGAAAACTGTTGCATTACGTAGTTCTGCTAAGAGTTCTTGTAGGTCTGGAATTGGGAAAGTGTCAACGACGACAGTGCGATTAACTTGCCGAAGATCCACACGGAGGCGAATGTCTCCTGATTTCTTGTAGGTAACGATGATTGGCGAAACCCATTCTCATTCATCAATACGCTCTATGGTGCCAGCTTTCTCTAGACGTTTCAGTTCCACGGAAACCTTATCCCGAGTTGCAAAGGGTAGTCTGCGTAACCATTGTTGCACTGGCGGAACATCAGGTTTGACTTTGACACAGTGTGCGAACCCACGAGCAGTGCCAATATTGTTTAGAAACAACTTCGGAAACTCAGTGCAAAGGGAATCCACATATTTGGTAGCATTCACAGATGATGTAGATGTATTGGGATCAGGAGGTTCTGGGGACAACTGACGAGCCATTCAAGGTGAGCTGGAGTGACCGGATAAGATCAAACTCAAGAACTGGATCACCGTTGTCCACAATGTAGAAATTTCCTTTCACCACAGTATCAGTTTTATCAGAAAGACGAACCATGGTGCCGATGTACCCGAGCACGGTAATTGGTTCACGTAGGTAAGTAGTCAGTTTTATACAT